AAAAAAAAAAACCCAAAACATGATCTCTGACGTATCGGTCGCGTGTCCCCACCATGTATGAAAAAAAATAAGACAATAAAAAAACCGGACGCTCATTTAAGCGTGTCTATGTCCGAGACGTGTCGGACACCAACATTCTGGCCAAAAATTACGTGTCTATGCTCCTAGATGGCAACCATACAATAAAGAATGCAAAAATTAACAACTACAAATTGGCATTTACTTGGTTAATAAGTCAAACATTATAATGGACTTTAAGAAATGCAACTCCAATTTGAAGTAACAAAGTCTTTTCAGAGTAAATAAATAAAATTAGCGTCTGATTTGCATTGACTTTCAAGTAATGAAATTGGCATTTGATCTTAAACAACATTAATTTTTATGAAATTGTTGCTTGTAGGCAAACAATTTGTAAGCCTGTGGTGCAAGGACATTCCAGCATAATTTTCTTATATACCCAAAACAAATCTACCAATCCACTATCCATCTTAAGAACTTCACTTATTAAATACCTCTAAGGAAATTGATGATATAGATTTCTGATCTGCATTCCTCACAATAGGCGTCATCAAGCCCTGCACGATGAACAAAATATATAATTAGACCAGGAAATCTTCAAATCCTTAAAACAAACAAATTAAAGTGTCCCCAGAATACCTTCTCAGTAGCAACTGCTATTGATATGTCAACGGAATCACAAAAAATGACTTCTCCTTTCTCAGCATTCCAGTAAGCTGTCATGTATTTACAGTCAATTATAGGCATGCAAATTTCTCATGGAAAGTACTAATATGAAAGAATGATGAAATATATCCACATAGCATAAATAGGAAATTCAACGATGAGAAAGTAACAGATGACCAAACAGGTATACCAATGGAGTGGCCTAATAGCAAAACTCATTGACTTTACCATTTTATAGAACTATAATACAGAGAAGAAAAAGTAAATGGAGATGATGCCCCAATGCTCATATTCATCTTCCAAGAGAAATCATTAACGGGCTGTAAATAGTTCTAGATGGTGTTCCATAGAGTTATCCCTCGCAACATTTGTAGTGAGCTATGATATTCACGAATTGAGAGCATTTTCTCTTTTTGCTCAATCGAACTCTTAACAGATAATTCAGTGCCTGGAAGCTGACCAATCGTGACAGCTTATTAGACAGGTGTCAAATATTATAACTAAGCAAAGCTGGTCTGATTAGGTATGAGAGCAGTCACTTTGTACAAATGTCTTTGAAGTCTCTACCTAGTCCGTCCCTCCAAGCACCCTCGGTTAAAGAGGACCAAAATGAGTAGTGTTCTTTTTAGGGCCACTATCTAGTGTAATGGTAAAATTGTAAAAGAGCCAGCATGGTATAATTTGTTAAGAGAGCTTGTATTCCGTATCGAATAATTAGGCCCCGTAAGATTGGTTTATATATCCACTCATTGCCAATAGGTTGTGTTGGATGCTTTAATAGTATCAGAGTTGTGCCCAGGTCGGTGGGCGAAGTCTCCTACTTATTTGAATTTTTCAGTATGCATTTGTTTATTTGTTGACCCCACATGCGAGTCCGGGTCCCACGTGAGGGAGGGTATTAAGAGAACTTGTATCCCACGTCGAATAATTTGGACCACCAAGATTGGTTTAGATAATTGAATGGCCACTCCACTCATTGCCTATTGGTTTTGAGTTGGATGCTCTAATATAATTAACCTTTCAAGTTGGTCTTTATAAATTCGAGCATTTGCATAAACAGAATACAGAAACACTTCTTAAGATATGTAGTTGTATTCATACTTTGCAATCAAAGAAACTCAAATAAAACTATGGGCTCAGATGCTATTTGAATTCAGCTGTGCAATAAAGCTTTAAATAACAATCTTCGTTTTTCAATAAGTCACTAATGATGAAAAATGCGTGTTAGGATGGTTAAATGCATTTGCCAAGCTTTCCTTACTTTCAGGATTTTTCAATCTCCAAGTATGGTTTCTCAACCGTTTTAAGTCAACATTGCCAAATGTACCTCGCATTTGACATCATGAAACTATAATTGCCACAAAACCACCATATTAAAACGCACAATATAGAAAGCTTTAAGCCAATCTTCATGATTAACTTATGATGGACCACAAATCTGGAAACTTACTGCAAGTTTTTGATGTTCATACAGAAATTTTTTTTTTGACAGAAGACCAAGTCAGCTCTCACTTAGGGAAGGTTGATGCTGAAAATTACTTCTGCGTATGTTCATGATTATATCAAAAATTATGGTTTCTACATAATGAATGTAGAAATGTGACTTGATAAATTTAAGGATCTATCTTTTAAATGTACTAGTAATGCACGACGTGTGTTGCACGTGAATATATTTAAATAATAAATTATGTGTCGAATAATTAAATTTTATATTAATTATTGTTAAACATAATTATTGATTTATTATATCCCTCTTTGAGAACCTCATTTGTCATTTTTTTAGGTATCTTTTCGGATTCTTTAAACATTTTCTCTATTGTTTATAGTAGAGTTTCATTGTACGATTGCCATTTTTAAGTATTTTCATATCTAAATATATTATTATATTATTTTATCAAAGAGATTGATTAATTATAAACTATTGTTTGTATTATGATATTTTTGCATACAAAAAAAAAAAAATCAAATCTAACATATATTTGACAATAAAATTTGATCTCCCAACAACATATATATAATAATATAATATAATATATATTGGACTTTAAGTTTTTATATAAATAGATATAAATATAGTAAAATTTGATCTGCCAACAACATGTATATAATAATAGAATATAGATTGAACTTTATTTTTTATATAAATAGATATAGATACAGATATAGAAACTATATGTAAGTGTATTAATAATAAATGAGTCCATAAGAACTTAGAAGTCAAATGTTATTAATAAAATTGTTCTTGTAAGATTGTCATTTTTGAGTATTTGCACATCTAAATATGTCATTCTATTTTTGTCAAAGATATTGATTAAACTATAAATTATTGTTTATATTAAAATNAAAAAAAAAGGGTTTCAAAGACTAGAAAATAGTGTTTTTAAACTCTCTGCTCACTTCAAGGTGGTAGGAAAGTGGGGGATACGGAAAAATCGTCATTACCTTGTCTTTTTCGTGAGCATCATCATCATTAGGAAGAGGATTATATGGTCGAGAACTCTTCATTGGGTGATTACCATGTTGCATTCAACTGACAATGCAATTTCTTCCTCTGAAGTTGGAAAAACATGCTGGTTGTCCATGTTCTGTAGTTGGCGGTTACACAATAATGTTGCAAGGATTCACCACATTTCCCTCTGAAATTCTAGAGCTCTACTCAAGTTATGTCCTCTAAACAAATTTGTGGTGGTACTTGATGCAGCTGTTGGAACGGTTTTTCAAGTGAAGACCTAAAAGGATGTGCATAAGCTGCATATATAGTAGGTACTGGTGAGATTGAGTTCACACTAGGCTGTTTTATTTCTGCCCGTCCACCATGGACATGATGTAGTGGCATCTCATTAGACCCTGGATGCAATATAAAAATGAGTTGAGGATTGCGTTTTCCTAAAGTAAGAGTATCATCCAGACTGGTTCCCTGATTAACAATGGTTGACATTCATGGTTCAAAGTATTGACCGATAGTGATACGAGTCGTCTGAGTCATATCCAACTTGGCACCTTCTATAATGATACCATTACACGATGCTTATAAACCTTGAGTTTCGCACTATTGAACCGAGTCATCCAAGTTGTATCCAAGTCAATCCTAAGTTGTTGAGTTATTGTTACCGAATCGGTCGATATGTTTCCACAATGCCACGATATGACCTGCATTTTTCATTATGTTCAACATTTTTTGCGAAGGCTGACAATAAGGGTTTGAAGGTGTGATTATCTTCCCCTGCATTGCTGGAAACCCAATTGAGCTCCCCCGTTAGCGTTAGATGGCAACTGGTTTCACTAAACTAACAAAATATTGATCTGCTTGTCTTTTTTTTCCCCCTTTTTCCTCATGCTTCCTTCTCTTTCTTTTGTTTCCATCTTCTTCTTGTTAATTTGGTTGCAAAAAGTTTCAAGTATTGAAGAGGAAAAGCAACTTCACCTTGTCAATGCCAATTTTGGAGGGAATTTTTATTTTGCCAATCTCCAAACAAACACAGTGAAATTGGATGGAAATTGTG